CGGTGTCGTCCTGTCCCGCGGCCTTTTCCTAATCGTTGTCCCCCACGAACCAGGGTAAAGCTGCCACACCTGGTTCAGTTTCGTAATCTCCCAAGCCGCCGTTTGCTCGCAGGGGAGTTCGCCCCTCATTTCCGAGCGCAAACCGGCCCACCCGCGCCGGTTCGTGGTTCTCGGGGTGGATGTGCCGGCAAAAGAGGGAGGAAAGGGGCTAGGCGCACTTGAAGTCGGCTCGACAAGCTCTCGGGCACGGCGAATGTGCGGGACCTTGGGCCCAGTCGATCTTGTAGCCTCCGTAGCGGGGTGTGGCTGCCCATGGAGCCGGTGCGGTTGCCCTTGTAGAAGCCCTTGTTGACGTCCTTGGTCGTGAGGCGGAGGTGGCGGTAGCCGAGGACGCGGAGGGAGGCTGTGGGCTGCATGGTCGGTTGGGCGGCGGGTGGTGACCCCTTTTGTGGTGTCCTGGCGGAGGTGGGTTCGTGTGCGTATTTGCGCGCGGCTCGCGGTCGTCGATGCGAGGGGAGCTCGTGTAGGGGGCGGGTTTCGTTGGGTGTCAAAGTTGGATCATGGTTTGATGCTCGATTGAGGCTCTGGGAAATTTCGGGGATGCGCTGCTTCGGAGTGGGTCTGGCTAACTGTCTGTGCACGGGCCATGTCGGAGACCAATGCGTCTCCCCCTGGCTTTGCATACACTGCTTGAGACGGTGACATTACTGTCCTTAGAGATGGTAGCATCAATTGAACAGAACGACGTCATGAACAGCGAGTCGTTCGAGGCAGGATGGAGATTTCGAGCACCCGTGATCACAAGGAGCTCGTTAAGTCGCAAAACTGGAGAGACCTTCAGCAGACGGAAACCACGTGTTCTTCAAGACCTCGAGCACCTCAAAAGGGTACCGTTTTATTACTGAATTACAGCTGCTACCGAATGCTCACCGATTTTTGTTGCCCTCGTCATCACCTAGCTCTCGCAACAAGCGCTCTGTGTCCGCTCTCCAGCTCATGAGGTTCCCAGCTCATGATGTTCCCGACGTGGCAACACCGTCTTGCGTTGACTGCTCTGTCTCCTTCTTCGTCTTTGTCAGAATCTCTCTCAGCGTCCTGCTCTTCTTCTTCTTCTCGAACAACGGCTTGTGTTCCGTGTGGATGCTGTGGTCGTGCTCATAGTCGACGTGGACAAAAGCCCGCTCAACGTCGCCGAGACCTGTAGCCCAAAAAAGTCAGCAACCGGCGATGCAGCGCGTGCGAAAAGAAACAGTGTCATCGGACTCACCTTCGACCTTGCGCTGCAATTCTTGCGCCACATCGTGCGAGATTCGCAGTGGCGTTTCCTCGTCCATGACAACGTCAATCTCCACGTAATACCGCTGTCCGGCATGATAGGCACGGCACTGCTTGTATGTCAAAATTTGCTCACGGAGCTTGATCCTTGGATGAGCACTTACGGTGTCGACCTTGACGATGCGCTCGTCGTGGTTCATGGACATGTAGACCAACTTGGACAAGAAGGCCCTCGGCGCCGACTTGCCGACGAGAAGCCACACTTGCTCAAACGCGTTCGAGACCCAGGAGAAGAGAATGAGGAGCGCGATGAGAATGGCGCCGAGCGGGTCGAGATACCACACGAACTTGTTGCCCACGATAGCCATGATGAGCCCGAAGCTGTTGACGGCAATGTCGTTGCGGTGGTCGATCTGGTGAACGTCAGCAACACAGCATCACCCGTCGGCGTTTTGTGAGGCTCGGAGCTCGGGAGACGCACGTAGAACACGTGGACGGAGGGGTATTTCCTGTACGCGAGGCAG